GCTGAAAGAGAAATTTGGCTTTCCGTTGAGGTGTTGTTGAAGAAAAATTCTGCTTGCCGCCGAGGTATTGTTGAAAAAGATCTTTGGCTTTCTGCTGAGGTGTCGAAGAAAAAATTTCGCTCGCCGATAGAACCATGAAGAATATTAGTGGCTGGGCACCAACATTCGAGGAATGCTTTGAATACATCTCCATGGTGATCATATAAAGACAGCTCGCCGATAGAACTATGAAAAATATTAGTGGCTGGGCACCAACATTTGAGGAATGCTTTGAATACATCTCCGTGGTGATCGTATGAAGATAGCTTGTCGATAGAACCATGAAGAATATTAGTGGTTGGGCACCAACATTCAAGGAATGCTTTGAATACATCTTCATGGCGATCATATGAAAATAGGGAGGCGAATAGAGCACCATATAGTTGTTGTTATGATAGAAAGTCGTGGAAACGTGCCAAGACATCTTCTAACCACTCCCAATATAGTTCGGTGTGTGGCAATGCAGCAGAAAGTATACAGGGAATACTCCATAATACTTCCTTTGCCTGAACATTGAGACCCAATAGTGAAAACTAGTTTTCTTCAACAACTCTCTCATGAAGTGAAGAATTTAGTATTAAGGCTGCAGAGACAATAGATTCTTTATTAATCTGATCAAGACCAAAGTTGGTGAGTTTGCATGTGGCCGTGCGTGTCCAATGAGATGAACAATGTTCATTGTCAGGATCAGGCACTTGAATGGCATTGCGACCAAGAAGTGAGTCAGATACACTTAATGTGGTTACTTGGCCTCTTCGACTATTTTCGCTCTCTAAGATAGTTATCTTTTGCTTTACGAAACATTTAAACACCACCATGATGGAACAACAAACAAATTTTGAAGCTCGATCGGTGTTGTCTAGAAGGAGGATTTCAATATCTGCTATGGCTGACAAAATCAAGTTGCTATAAGAGAAAAGAGAGAGAAAAAAAAAAAAAAAAAAAAAGGAAAGGAAAGGAAAAAAAAAGTTTTTTAAAAAAGAGAGAAAAAAAAAAAAAGGAAAAAAAATGCGTGAAAAAAAAAAAAGGAAAGAAAGAAAGAAAAAAAGAAGGAAAGCAAAAAAAAAAAAAAAAATCATGAAAAAAAAAAAAAAAGAGAGAAAAAAAAAAGCAGGAAAGGAAAAAAAAATCATGAAAAAAAAAAAAGAGAGAGAGAGAAGAAAAAAAAATTCGTGAAAAAAAAAAAAAAGAAAAAAAATTCATGAAAAAAAAAAAGGGAAAGAAAAGAAAGAAAAAAAATACCATGAAAAAAAAGGAGAAAAAAAAAAAGAAAAGAAAGAAAGCTAAAAAAAAAAAAAAAACAAAAGGCATACCAATTATTTGTGGTATTTGTTCGAGCAGAGGCCGCAATCCAACATAGTCTTCAGAGATTGTAATCTGACAAGTCTTCAGATTCTATTAGAATTGATGTCAAACCCTATAACATTGGTGGTATATATAGGCAACAAAATATCTCCTAGGATTTGTATAATTCAATTCAAATTGGAAAGAAAAATCTTACAATCCAAAGTTGGATAGAAAAGCAAAAAATGAAACTTTACAAATTCAAAGACCAAGTTGGATACTCCAAGTCCCACTTAAGAAAGGAGACAAGTCCTGTCAAACCTGGGACTCGAAGTGGGGGCAATTTGTAGACTCTAAAATTTTAGTGGGCTTTGGTTTTGACAAATTGACCAATCAAATATGGGTTCAATGTTTAATTAAGTTATTTAACTGGCCCAAGCTTAGTCCACTTAAATTATTTAATTAGCCCAGCCTAGATGATTAAATGGAAAGATAATTATTCCTAAAAAAATATATTTGGAATAATTATTTTTAAGGATAATTATCATAATATAACCGGCCTGGCCAGTTATGATTTTTTCCTTATCGGGAGATGACACATGTCATCATCCTATTAATCCAAAAAACCTATAAATAGAGATCTGAAGGAAGAAAGAAGACACAAATTCAGAGTCCAGAAATCCAAAGACTCAGAAATCCAGAAGGTCCAGAAATTGAGAGAATCAGAAATCCAAAGGACAAACCTGAAGGCGAAGAATACCAGCACATCCAAAGTCGTACCGTTCTTCACCAAATTCAACAAATCCTCTTTGAAGAAGAAGAAGAACAAGCACATCAAATCGTGCCGTTCTTCATCCAAATTCCACGGTGATCAACAAGCACATCAAATCGTGTCGTTCTTCATCCAAATTCCACGGTGATTCAAGATCAAGCTCGTGCAGCCCTTGGATCCAACCAACAAAAAGGAGATAGAATCAGAGGACCTTATTCTTTGTAAAGAATATTATTATATAGGATTGTACTCCAAAATTTCCAAATTAATAAATTCTATTTGCTCCATATTTTGTTCTCATTTGCAGACTACGAAATTTGTGTGTACACCGAGTATACAATATCTTACTTATATAAGATCGTACTTCTCTTCTCTTCAGCAGACAAGTCTGGGCCACCGTCCTACCACCACCGTCTCTGCCGCCATCATTTCTCTCTCATAAGCACTCCTCTTTCTCTCTCTCTATCAAAACTTATTATCTAATAATACAAATTTAGAAAGCTTCAACACTTATCTTTCTATACGTTTATTCTCAAATTATACAAATTGAAAAGGCTTCAACACTTCTCTTTTAGTACACCTTCCTCTATCTCTCTGTTGTTATTTTTCCCCAATTCTGGAGTCGAATCACTACAATGGCCAAAAGCTCTAGCGCTTGGATCAATCCAGTACAAGACCAGGCCATTCTCGGACTTGAAACCAAACTCTGATCTGTTGCCAAAGAGTGTTGAAGAAGGTTGCAGAGGTCAGTGTTTGAAAGGGGTTGACGTAAAGAACAAAACTTAAGCCTGTGGTCTTAAGATCGAATCGTTGTCAATGGTGAATTGTTAAAATGAGAGAGGGATAATTACGGTTTAAATTGGTCTTGATAACGAATTGGAGTGAAAATTATTGATTCACTTCTCCACTTTTCAATTCGTATATACACACACACATCAAATCTATCAATTTCTAGGGTTTCATCTTGTAGAGGTCAGTGCTTAAGCCTTATCACATTTTTTTTATTTTTTTTAATTAATTTTTTTTAAATGCTTTGATTCATGATATGATCATGTACTACATTTTGTTCGTAACTTTGTATACCAAACAAATTGCTAGCGTTTCAATTGCTCTGATTGTGTACTACATTCTGTTTGGCATGCGTTGTACAAAAACACACTGACGCACAAAAATGAAGATGAAAAGAGAGAATGAATCAATGCTCTAATTGGAGGTTTTTGAGATTATCTCGATCGTCAAATATATACTTATATATATATATATATACACAAAATAACATACGCCTATATATATAAATATAGTGATTGAGATGAACAGATGGTTTTTTTTTTAAAAAACTAAAAATGACCAAGAGGCCATGGAAGGAAGGGGAACAAGATTCAATCTCTTGTTTGTCTAAAACAGCTATTTTTTTACGCCTGTTTGTTTGGTTTCTTTGTATATGTATACGTATTTTTATATATAACCTTTTACGGAGTAAATCATAAGGGTCACTTTTGGCATTTTAAATTTCTAAGTGTCAAAATGATAGTTCAGGGGGGTTTTTTGAGAGAGAGAAAAAAATGTAGGGGGTAATGCACTTAACCCTAGAAAATAATAATTTTAGACTTGTAGAATTTGATATCATTCATTCAAATTTCGTTCATTCTCTGACCACTACTGAGGCGAACAGATCCAAACACTTGTTACTTCCAACCATGACCCGTACCCACTTCCAGATCTTTTATTTTATTTTATCCTGAATCTCTCCATCTACAAGATTCAACTTTGCCTCATTGACCATCAGCTGTAACATGAACATAACCAAATCTTTATGCACTCACACAACAGAAACAATATTTAGAGGCCCAAAGATGAGGTATTTGAAGACATTAGATCCCACCCCAACTTCACAAAAAATACCATGCAGAAAGCAACCCTAGAATTTCACAATGATTCAGCCAAAGTGAATTACAAACAAGACACATTTAACTCAGAAAAAGATAGATAGAGAGATACAAAGAGTATAGCTCTTTATTATGCTACAACTGCTATAATAATCACCAAGATAAGAAGTTGTAAACATATACATATAGAGGAAGAATCAACTGGATTTGAGAGAGATTAATTTTAGAAATTCTGATTCAAATCTTGGTTGTTCATATATGAGTCTTCTCTTTCTACTTTGATAAGATCGAAGGTAATGGCAATGATAATGGTAATTGATGAATGTGGATGCGATCTGGTGCAAAAAAATATCCATGGAAGGTGATGTTGGGCAGCCTTCATCACAGGAAAATTGACAGCACGATGCAGGGGTGATAATGGAGGGGATGGAATGATATTATTTTATGGTATATTTGTCCACTTGAATAATGTTTTACAACCCTCACCATTTAGTGTTTTCTATCCTCAGCAATCAGAGAAGTCCCAATCACTTAAAATTTTAGTCCCTCTAAAGTGAGCTTTTTTAATGATTTTCTAATTGTGTCAAATTCCACACTTAATTAGTTAATCACTTATTTTGTTTAGTTCTAAGTGCTGATTTGAGTTCTCAAACAACACCTCGATGTAACAAGAAGTTTAATTACAAGGGGCACCAAGTAATCTACTTACAAGGTGCAGATGGATTTTCAGCCAAATAATAATAATTATTATTATTTTTTTTTTGATAAGTAATTTTCAGCCAAATAACAAATAAATGGGATTGCAATAAATATATTTTTTATGAGATATGACATATTGGCAGTTCAAAGTTTTACAAGTGAAGGCAAATAAAAGCTGATTTTGCATAAAAACACACACACCCACAAGGATTTCTCATATGTAGTCCACCATGTAAAGTTTGAACGCTTTATTTGTAAAAGGAAAATAAACAGGAAGTCAAAAGGGTATAAAATAATTCAAAACAGCAGGCACAAAATACCTGATATGGGTCAAAGCTGTCATTTTCAGATACGTTGAGAAAGGTCGCTAAACAAACAAGCTGCCAAAAAGAAAAGAAAAAAATAATAACAATAAAGTAGCTTGTTAATGGGAATAAGAAGCATGCTATACAAGATGAAATCACTAAAAAGAAATCCAAACTCAATTAATCAAATGAAAAGTCATGGCAGCATTGCACCATTGTGTATTTAGCCTGTTTACTAACCTTCACTAATGCCGTTCCAAGGTAAACAAGAGCAGCTTTAACAGAAGTACCAAGTGTATCATACTCCGATCTGCACAAAAACACCTAATGTACTAAGGAAGCATTTTATATATACATATAGGCTGTAGCACATATACTACAAAAGGATGTCCTCTCTCTCTCCTCTCTTTCTATATAGGGTAAAGTATAAAAAACACCCGAGGTTAACTTTTTGTGTAAATAACACCCTCGTCTTTTATTTTGTGTATACAAGTCCCTTAAATTTTAAAAAATATAGCAAACAAGGGCTTACCGTTAAAAAATGACGGTTAAATAGTCATGTGCGTTGCACATGACATATTTAATATTTGAAATTCCAAAAATACCCTTAAGCATGTTCTCTCTCTACTGTCTCTACCACTCTCTAGTCTCTACTATCTCTCTCTCCTCTCAAATTGGGTTCCAAGATTAACTTAACATTAGTCGAATTATTTGGGATGCTTGTGTGGTTGTTGCTACTGCTAACCACCATAGCAACACCATATGAGATACTTCCTTTGCAAAGCCATGAGGCCTTCTTCTATTCTGTCTCTCTGGATCAACTAAGAATTATGAGGCCTAGCTCTGTCTTTCCTCAGTTTTTGAGGGGAAGGACTGATTGTTGTACTTACATACATGTATGTAATTATATATACACACATGTATATGTATACACACATGTATGTAATTATAACTATATTTCCTGCTCGCTCTGTTTTGATGGATTGAAGAGTGTGGATATATTGTGAACGATGAAATATAACTATTCTTGCATATATATATATATATATATATATATATATATATATATATATATATATATATGTATGTATGTATGTATGTATGTATGTATGTATGTATGTAATTAGTTATCCATCACTTGTGGAAGCAGATGGTTTAACTTCTGATGTGGGTTTATTTTTTGGGTAAATGAAGTGGGTTTAGTTTGGGATGAAGAGTTTGTTGAAAGTGGGGATGAGGAATTCATGAACAAAATGAAGAAAATCACAATACCTTCCAATCCTTCTCCTCACAACGGCACTATCACCTTCACTTTGATACTTGGTCAAGACCTTGACAAACAATCTGGATCTGTGAAAACCAGAGGTGACATGGTTTTTCTCATAAATTTATGCTCTCGTCTTATTGGTGTTGATTTTGGTTGGTGGGTATGGATTGATCAAGTTATGGCTCTCATATATATATATATATATATATATATATATATTTCTATGCATTTAGCTTCGCCTACACATACATATTTATATATAGATCAAGAAACTTAACACCCAATGGCGCCGGCACACCACCACTAATGGTGACTTGGCGACTTGGCGACCGGCCTTTTAGGACAATCCAATACGACATCGTGTTGTGTTGTCCCTTTTTGTCGTTTACTAATTTTTTATTTTTTTTATTTTCTAATTTGTCATCTATACTAAGGGTATATTAGTATTTTCAGATCTTTGTTAACGGTGAAGTGATGTCAGGCCCTTCTTTGCACCTAAATTGAATGTTAGGGAGTTTTTGGAACGCGTAGGGAGTTATATGCACTATATGCATACCATAGGGGTGTTTTTTGCACACGACTCATATATATATTTATATATACACATTTCTTTGGGAGTGCTCAAGACGGCAGTGCCTTTAATGAAATTTTACTTATCAAAAAAAATATTTTAATATATACACATACACACTGAGATCAAGTAAAACCCACAAAAAATTTACTTATTTGGGAAATAACGCAAATTTTCCATTGACAAGGAACTCACATGTGTAGCGTACAGAATAATTCAATTGGACAATACTGTGATAGTGTGACATGCTGGAGTATTTAAAAAATGTATACTTTGAGTTGCATGGATGGACCATTAATAGTTCAACACGGCAAGGTCATCGGTCTTTGCAGCTATAACTGGTATGCCCGCGTAAACAACAATGAAAAACTGTCATGTCAGATGCACTTCTACTATACCTCGATCATGCAACATACTTAGTCAAGGAATTTGAATTATTATTAACCATAATCTTGATAATATTACCACAAACACTGTTTTGCGCAAGGGCTCCTAAGTCCGCGACCACAGTAATCTCGTAAACACCATTTTGCTAATATCAATGACTACATTCATAAGCCCTACACTATACATAATATATCACAATGTGCGCAAGGTCTACAAAGTCCGGCGACCACAACGTTTTGCTAATGTCAATTACTACATTCATAACCCCTACACTATACGTAATATATCACAATGACCATCATATAAACTCCATCTAGACACTGAAGCGTTGCTATATCAAATCATCTGGCGCTAAAGGCACATCTCTACTATTCATAATATCTAATTCCTTCTTCAACATTTTACATCAATGTATTGACAATCATGTAATAGCTATTGTGTGCCTTAGTGTTCGAACCAGTAATAAAATGCAAATAAATTGGATACTGATGACAAAAGAACAGAGGAAAAGGGATCACCCTGTTTCTCAAATTGATCTTTAGCGCCCAATAACAACACAATTCATATTTAGGGTTTTTGCGGCAGATATTGATGAAAATAAATTGACACCAGATCTGCAGATAATTACCGGCAGAAACAAGATTAAATAAAAAATTTACTCGAAGATGTAGACGAAAACTTACAAGGGCGTTGCGGAGTAGTAGACGGCGTGAGGACCGAAGGTTAGAATTGCGCAGTTGAAGAAGTGAAACACAGTCATCTCCTCTTTCTCTCTCTCTCTCTCTCTCTCTCTCTCTCTCTCTCTCTACTTAGAGATCCAAATAGACAGCAGGGAGATGCGTTCGCAAGCAGAATTCCGATATTTCAAGAAATTTAAATTTTTTTACTTCACAAACTAAAAAGACATCATTAGTTTGGCACCCGAGAAATTATTCAGCGGTCGTCTATTTTGGTTTAATTAATTCAGACACGATAAATTATTGCGCGGTCATCTATTACAACTTTGGAATTAAAATTAAAATTAGTAAAATTTGAAATTTTTTTATTTTATTTATTTATTTATTTATTTTCAATTCTAAGGATTTCAATTTCATAGCCTCAATCTTGACCTCTCATTGCCTAACTAATAAAATAAAATATTCATTAAATAACACTAGTCACATATTTTATCCCAATTCATTGATTAAATAAAGAGATTGCATGTCTGTAAAGAGATTCTCATGCTCGCATTATTCATATATTAATATACTGACCTATTTTTTAAATCAAAAAGCCCAAATTATACTAATTCGTAAGTGTCACAAGTGCACAACCAATAATATTTTCACTTAAACTATGAGTTTTACACTAATCAAATTAAAATTAGCACTACGATTTGAAGTAAATTATAATTTGGACTCCAGGAGGACCATGATTTAGTTGTATTGAGTTTGTTTCAATCATGGGGTTGGCAACTTGCGTTGGACAACCTGAACCAATTCGAACCCAGTCTGATTTTTTGTGAGCTTAGACAGTCATTTTTACAATTAGGGTTGGGCCTAGGTTGAAAAATCTCGACTCGAATTTAATTATGATTGGTTTTGGGTTGAGGTGCTAACAACCCGAGTCAACCCGAACTCGAATTTTAATATTATTTTCATATATATTTTTTATTTTAAATACATTATATATAATATTTAAATTATGATTGGCTTTTTTCTTTTCAACATCTTTTGTTAAATCTTGGCTTATTGGTATGTTAACATTTAGAAGAATTAATTTTCTAAAAATTTGTTTATAATTTATTATAAATTTAGATTTTTTTTTTTTTCTTTTTGGAATAATTTAATCTAAAACTAATTCAAGATCATATTAAATTTTAAATAATGATTACCTAGTTTATAATTTGTCATATGAGTAACCCAAATTTTTAACCTGGAATCTAAGCCTGAGTTGCAAGTCCGAATTTAAAAATAGAATGATGAGTCGGACTCGGGTTGAATATAAGGTTAGCGTTAGAGTTAAGCTTTAGTATTTCATATAGCGAGTTAGGCTTAAGTTATACCTCAAATCCGTCCAACTCGCCCGAATTATAGCCCTATGTAGAGCCCGTATTAGGCTTAATGATGAAAAGGGGCTTATGGAGATGCTTATTTTAGCATATTTTCTCAAATAAATTTAAATTTGCAAATCGGGTAAGATGAGTTAGTTGAAGAGTCAACCATCAATCCAAACCCAGCTTCACCTCCAAGGTAATACTCAACATGAGCCCAAATTGAGCAATTATATATAAGGTTAAATGCTCTCACACCCTCTGAAGTTTCAATTTCTTGCTCACATATTAAATCTAAGTAAAAGTTGCTAATACACCTAATAACGTTTGGTTTAATTAGCTCTCAAACCCCCTCTTTTTAAAATGATAAAATAAAATACCTAAATTACCCTCCATTATTTCAAATACATTATTATTCTTAAAAAAATGTTAGACATTTTTACCCTCAACTCGTTTCTTTTCTTTCTTTTTCACTTCTCTTACAGCGGATTCATCACCAGTCCATCCTGAGGTCAATACCGAAGAATGCCTAATTAAAAGAGGACCAAACTAGGTAACAAGTTCTTTGAGCTTAGAATCTTCATGTGGTCTCCAATGGCCTCTGCCCACCACCATGCTAAAATAGGCCGATACCTAAAAAAAACTTGGCACATCTAGAACCTTAATTGCCCTCTCCAGCACTAACCTCCCCGAATTACAGTAAGTCTCCACCATTAAGTACAAGCTCGGCTCGCCATCGACGGCGCACCGCTCGAATGACTTCAAACCTTAGAGTGCGTGGTCCAACAACTTGCTTGGGCCGTGATGAGCGCTGAAAAGCGCGTATTTAAACCCCTTAAGCTTAGGCATTCTAGCATCTTTATCTATCTTACCTTACCGTTTTAGATTGATTTCGTATTATTTCTATTTTCAGGCACTTATCCTGAAAATAAGCTAACTCAGCCAAATAAGAGCTTAATTGAAGCAATTCTGGGATTAAACAAAGAAATGAGCAAAGTGGAGAAAGAAGAAAGCAAATGAAGCTAAAGGTGGGAAGCAGCAAAGTTCGATCGATCCAAGTTCAAGGTTCGATCGATCGAACAATGATCGATCTCATCACTTCAAGATAGATCCAAGCCTTGGCCCAAAAGCATAAAGTCCAAATGTTCAATTGATCTAACACCACCCTTCGATCGATCGAACACTTTTGTCCTTATTCAAATGATTGATCCTATCCACAGCTGTATCACCCACTAACCACTTTTGTCCTTTTCCCAAAAATATCTCCCAAAAATATCTCAGATTTGTCTTTTCCCAGAAAGCTCAACCAGTTGGATCGATCCAGCCTAAGTTCGATGGATCTCAGCAAGTTCGATCGATCTAAGTCCAAAGTTCGATCGATCGAACTTCCTCCAGTGCAAAGAAGTTAAATTTCCAGCTTGTGCAATCCGTCCTCTATCCAATCATTAGAGAATATTCTTTGCACGACCTGAGCTCATTTTGTGTGCCACTTGACCTACCTATAAAAGGAATATGATGCACTTTTTGAGATATATACAATTCTAGGGTTTAATCTCTTAGGGAGGAAAAGTTTAGAGGAGGAGGAGGAGGCTAGAGACACCATTGGAGTTCTTCATCAACAAGGAGCAGATTTCAACCATGGAGTTAGCCCTTGAAGGTTGGAGCAACATCACCATGAGTGGCTAGACATCGTCTTGGGGCTAGAGTTAGCCCCAAACATGCTTTCTATATCTTAATATTGTGTATCATTGATGGATTAGTGTTGTAATTGATGTTTTGACACTTTGATATATATAGATCTTGTTTATTCAATGATTTATGTGGTTTAATCCTTCCAATTGATCATTTCATTCTATCCATATGTCTATGTATGCTAGAATAGGTGTTCATATGCTTGTTTCTAGATTTTGTGTTATTGATGCATGTCTATGTGTATTGATGCTTTAGATTTGCAGATTGTCAAAACATAGTGCTTAAAGGAATGCTCTTGTGATTCTCTTGATGGTTCATACTTATTCCTTGAAGGATTGTGCCTCTCCCCTAGTTTATTTTCATGCTAGTAATGTAGGTGTAGTGTAGTTGTAGTGTAGTGTTAAATGGAAGGACAATCTATGCTTGTTGTTTGATGATCCAAGCTTTTGAATGCAAGTAGCATATGTCTCTATCCTTGTATTGTATTTGGATTGTGAGCTTAATGAAAGGATTAATGACTTGTTTTGATCTATTGTGCCTTTCACATGTTGTTTAGACAATATATGCTTCATTGCTTAGATATATTGTGCCTTTCACATGATGTCTAGACAATATATGCTTAACTAGTCATCCTTACTTGTTGAAACAACCAAACACACACACACCAATATTGCAACACACCATTAGCCCTCATTAATCATTTGTCAATGGTGTAGAAATGCATTGCTCGGTGGTGATCTCTAAACCCCAAGATCTCTCTCTCTCTATTACTTACTCTTAATTACATTATTTTGTTATCACTTAGTTTAATTTAGTTGTTATCTAATCAACCAACCAACCAATTGTTTGATCACTCGACCTACTAGCCTTAATAACGATTCCACGATCTTGTTCGATCTTCATAATCCCTTGGGACGATCCCTACTCGCCCTAGCTATATTTATAGTGAAAGGTAGTAGTGGCTTCTATAAATGTAAAACTCTTGACCCTCGCCTTAATGCACACTCTCAAGCTTGACGGTGGTGCGGCATACACCGGTCAGTTTTTGGCGCCGTTGCCGGGGATTTGATTAGGCAACGTCGGATTTGTGGAATTGATTAGGATTAGTATTCTTTTGATTGTGTCTTTACTTTACTTTTATTTTTCTTTTTGGTTACTTATTGTGTTGTTCTTACTTAACTAGGTGCATTGTTGGAGAGAAAGCAAGCAAATGAACATTCAAGCTAAGCAAGCAAGGAAAACTGCTGAAAATAAAAAAATAAAATTTTTTTTGCTAAGCTAAGCTTTAAATTTGGAGTTGAAGTGCTAAAAGACCTTTGTGAGACTTTCTTTACTCAATCCCTTAAATAAAACGTCGGCCCGCGTGGAGGCTTATTTTTAGTTGTTCTTTGCATTATTGTTGTTAAAGCATGGGAGTATGAATTAAGTGTTTGTGGAAGAAGTCTAATTGAAATTGTTGTGATGGCATAGTGTTTGTCATTCTCTGTGTTTTGCATTGTGCATGCATGGACGTCGTTCATTAAGACCAACTCTTGTCCCTCTTGATTTGCATCTTGAATTTATCATTAGAAACCCTAGGGGAAGAGGAAGTTCAAATAGAGCCAATCTATCAATGGATGGCCATAATGATAATCATGTTGAAGACCTTGACCACATAGACCAATAAGGTATCATTCATCCCAATGTGCACAATGAGAACATACAAGTACCATTAGGCATGCCTAGGCCATTCATTCACCAACCACCACAACAACAAGGCCAAGTTCCATATGGAATGCCAAGGCCAATGTATACTCCACAACCTCCCATCATCAATCAAGGAATTCAAAACCAAGGTGTTCATGTTGCACCTCAAGTAGCTAATCCACCTCTTACTTTAAGAGACCATTATGTGCCTAATGAGTATAATGCACCTACATGCATCCAATTGCCTCCATTTAGAGCACATCATTATGAAATCAAGCCACAAACCATTCAAATGCTTCTTAACTATCACGGACTTCCAAGTGAAGAACCTTACAAGCATTTGGATGAGTTTCTTGAAGTACGTTCCACCGTAAAATATACGGACATGCCGGAAAAGGTTTTAAGACTCAAACCTTTTCCATTCACCTTAAAAGATAAGGCAAAGTATTGGTTTAACAATCTTAGGCCTTTTTCAATCACTTCTTGGGCAAAAATGCAACAAGAGTTCTTAAAAAAGTATTATCCGGTTTCTAAGA